TTGTATATATTTTTAATTTTTAGATATTAATATTTAGTTAAGCAAATCATTGTATATACCTCATATTTGCAATTTATGTAAAATTGGATACTCTTGATATTTTGAACAATAATAGTATCCAACTGTTCAATGCCTTTTATTTTGTATCCATAACTTTTTAATAAATAAAAAATTTGTCCCGATGTAATGTGGAAGGAATTTACAAAATTTATAGCAGACGCAATTGCAATTAAGGTATCCTAGAAAAGATGAATATATTTTATTTTTAATTAAATGTTAATAAATTAATTATTAATAAATCTTTGGTACCTCCGATGGTTTATACGGCCTTTTATTTTGTATAGAATTTGAATGATTGATTTGTATATGGCGTATTATATTGTTTTCGTTTATAAATTTAGCATTACAAAATGGGCATTTTATGAAAATAAAATTATTTTTAATGCCATGAACAACTTGTTTTTTTTCTTCCCGTTTACCTAAAACTATAAGTTAGCATTGTTACCTAATGAAGTAGTATCCATAATGTTGATGGTAGCTAAAACAAAATATGAAATACAATAAATTACCAAAAATAAAATACTGAAATCAAAAGCCAGTAATTGTAATAAATTATAATACATCATAATAAATTGCAGTTGTTAGATACGATGTACTATTAATGTCTAATATTTTTCTTAATAGTGGATCATTTTTCTGTTCTTCAATAATTGCAGAATATAATTTTTGCTGTGGACGATAACATGTTCTGGTGGAGGATTTGAAAGAAGATAAAAGTTGTTCGTCACACAGTTCTTTTAATATTGACCTCAGTTTGGATATATCAACAAAATTCTTGGATATAATTGCCATTACAACAGTTATATGCTGGTATAAGGTATGTAGCTATGGTAAAAAATAATTTTAGAAATACATTAATACATTTAAATAATTATTATATGTTTTTCAAATAACATACAGTGTGGTTTTGTAACAAAATTGTATTTCCAAAATATAAATGCAGGCAAGCCAAAACAAACAAACGATTTGTGGTGTCCTCCTTGAAAAATGTTAAGCAGGATGTTATTCTCTCTAGGTATATTATTAATAATTTGTACATATTCTCTGATTATTTAAAGTTTTTGTGGATATAATTTTGGAGCGGTGTCAGTGAATACATTTTTTTTTTTTTGAATTAATTGTCGGTGAATCACATTTTCTTTTTGAAGTAAATGTTGGCCTTGTGGAAGTGATAAGTACATTTGGTGTTGGTTCATCACTATTTGAAATTAATTGTATCAATTCATCGGTAGTATAGCTGGAATCTTTAATTATTTGATGTTTTTTTATTATATTAAATAGGTCCTGTAATGCTGTATTGTAGTTTTTAATTTGAAGTTTGAAATCGTTTTGTAGGTCCTGAATGGTGGTGGATATGGGTAGTTGAGAAACAACTTTAGTAATGAATTCTTTAATAAAAATTGCCTTTTGTTGAAGATTTTGGTGCAATTGTCCCTTATCAAAATTGACACGACGCTTCGGTTCATGACATATCCATAATGTTGATGGTAGCTAAAACAAAATATGAAATACAATAAATTACCAAAAATAAAATACTGAAATCAAAAGCCAGTAATTGTAATAAATTATAATACATCATAATAAATTGCTGCGGTTAGATAGGTTGTACTATTAATGTCTAGTATTTTTTTCAAAAGTGGATTATTTTTCTCTCCTTCAATTACAGAATATAATTTATGCTGTGGACGATAACAAGTTCTGGTGGAGGATTTGATAGAAGTTAGAAGTTGATCGTCACACAGTTCCTTTAATATTGCCCGCAGTTTGGATTTGTTTACAAAATTCCTGGATATAATTGCCATTACAACAGTTATATGCTGGTATAAGGTATGTAGCTATGGTAAAAAATAATTTTAGAAATACATTAATACATTTAAATAATTATTATATGTTTTTCAAATAACATACAGTGTGGTTTTGTAACAAAATTGTATTTCTAAAATATAAATGCAGGCAAGCCAAAACAAACAAACGGTTTGTGGTGTCCTCCTTGAAAAATGTTAAGCAGGATGTTGGTTGGGTGGTCAGGTCAACTTGCATCGAACTACTATTTTCAGAGGACCTTGATATTTTGCAATTAAAAATTGAATAATTATTTTATAACATTTGTTACGAGGACGACTACTAGGTAATTATTGCTTTTATAACTTACCGGAAACTGGGATCATAACGCACATAGGGATGCATCCACCAGTTGTCCAGTTTGCTTATAAAGTTTTTTAAGCAAAACTCCACATTATTCAACACATTTGCTTGTAGTAAGTCAATATGTGTTAGTATCATTTTATTATCTGTAGCGATAAACTTTTCAATTTGATTTTCAAATATATCAATGTAATCTGTTACAATATTCATTTTAATAATATTTTTTTTCATCTCTATTAGTTTATATACATGAAACTCAACTTCACTTAAATTGACACTGGAAAAAAGGACATGATTAATATGTATTGGAATGTTTCATTTATCAATCATCACTCACTCATCGCTTCTGTTGTGAACAAAACAGGAAATAGAAAATGATATTGAATTGTCCATAGACCTTATACTATGACAATCAAACACATTTTGCCAAAACATATTGGAGAAATCTCCTTTCTGTTGGGTGGGAGGGTTGGCAAAAACCTCTGGAAAATCAACTAGAGTGATTTGTGGTTGGTAGGGAACATTTTGTTGAATTTTTAAAGCATTTAAATATTGAGCAAAATTTTTTGCTGCACTGCTGTCGAATATTTTAACCGAATCTTGGACAAGTTTGGCAGTCTTTTTTTCCCCCAATTTTTTTGTTTTGAAATTCGATTCAACATATTCGCCTGCTGCCTTTAATACCATATCCCTCACATTTGCAATAATGCTTTGTTCCATATTTTTAAGTTTTATGAATTCAATAACTTTTTCTACATGACCACATCTATTAAGGACCTGTATATAATGTATATAATGTATATGATTTTTTTTTTATTGTTATTTGTATAGTTGTATATATTTTTAATTTTTAGATATTAATATTTAGTTAAGCAAATCATTGTATATACCTCATATTTGCAATTTATGTAAAATTGGATACTCTTGATATTTTGAACAATAATAGTATCCAACTGTTCAATGCCTTTTATTTTGTATCCATAACTTTTTAATAAATAAAAAATTTGTCCCGATGTAATGTGGAAGGAATTTACAAAATTTATAGCAGACGCAATTGCAATTAAGGTATCCTAGAAAAGATGAATATATTTTATTTTTAATTAAATGTTAATAAATTAATTATTAATAAATCTTTGGTACCTCCGATGGTTTATACGGCCTTTTATTTTGTATAGAATTTGAATGATTGATTTGTATATGGCGTATTATATTGTTTTCGTTTATAAATTTAGCATTACAAAATGGGCATTTTATGAAAATAAAATTATTTTTAATGCCATGAACAACTTGTTTTTTTTCTTCCCGTTTACCTAAAACTATAAGTTAGCGTTGTTACCTAATGAAGTAGAGAAACAATAGTTTTAAAAATATTTATCTAATCGATTTAGATAAATATTTTTACGATCAAAATTTTTCTTTTAACTCAATTTACAAATTGGCTATTTTGAAATTTTTTTTTTATATTGTACGTGTAGCGCAAGGATCTTTTAACAATAAACAAAAAAAAAAAATTTAAAAATATTAATTAGAACAAAAGTTATTCTAAAAGTCAGTTATTTCTGTTACACCCTGTATTACGTCTACATTAGACATATCGTACGAAATGAAGTTTGAAAAATTCTTAAAAAATAACTATCCATAATACACCTGGACAACTCGACCTCACCACCACTTTATGCAAATTGTAAGTATCCAAAATTCCGGTGTCCAGGGCAATTAAATAAAAATGAAATACTTACAATCACCAAAGTTCGGAAAAGAACCCCTAGGAATAATACCATCAATTACACCGATGTCTTGACGCATTTCTAAAACATTATGGCCTTGAGCCAAGCTACAAATTAAATTGGACCGTTTGGACGACATCACGATGGACCTGGTCGACGAACAAATGGAAAGTGATTGAATAAGAAAATTAACCATACTCTATACCCCCAAATAGTTTTAAGTCCCCTGGTAGGCGAATTAGACTTTTAGTAGGGGCAAAACAAGTATTTTACCTATGTAATCCTGCACCGATATACCGTTTTCTGGACAACTCGACCTCACCACAACTTTATGCAAATTGTAAGTATCCAAAATGCATTTCCCAAAAAGGGGATATCCTAACGAAGCCAGGGATGTGCTTGGCTAAGTCTTAGTACAATATTTCGATTTTTAATGAATTATAAACCGATTCGTTTCTACCGGAGTAGTGCAAATTACGTTCGCCCGGCACTTATAATATGAAATAAAATTACTAAAAATCCAAATTTGGTACTACCGCTTTGAAAACGATATCCCTCGACTCTAAATGACTTACTCTATAAACCCAAACTGTTTTAAGTCCCCTGGTAAGGTAATTGTACTCAGGGTTGTGGCAAAACCAGTACTTTAACCATGTAGGTAATCCTGTACCAAGTTACTGTTTGTCTCTACTAACTTGGTACAGGATTACATGGGTAAAATACTGATATTATACTCAGATTACATATATAACAGGATTACCTTATACTCAGGATTACATATATAACAGGATTACTTTATACTCAGGATTAAATATATTACAGGATTACTTTATACTCAGGATTACATATATAACAGGATTACCTTACTACCAGGATTACTTTACACTCAGGATTACATATATAACAGGATTACTTTACACTCAGGATTACACATTATTCTAATTACCCATAAAATGTTTAATATATTTATTTAAAATGATATTCTATTTAATATATTTAAATATAAATATTTAATTATAGTACCTACTACCTATTACCTTATTTTAGGTCTTCTCTAAGTAACTATAAAATATTTAGTTTTTTTTAAATCATACTAGTTCTTATATACCTAGTGGTTTTTTGATATTGTATTTTTATATGAGGAGTTGTTATTTAAAAATAATTATCTTTATAAACTTAAAAGTTAAAACTAAACGATTACATATTATTAAGTTAAATGGAATTAATAAAAAAATGTACAAAATACCATTAGAATCAAAAGAAAGATCCATTTTCATTTCCGTTTCAGACGTTTCAGAATCAGTTTCACGTTCAATGTACTCAATTGCATTATTCTCGGCATTATTGGTTTCCAAATTAGTATCTTCATTTGTATTAACTATATTCCAGGAAAAAACAAAAACATAACAAAAGCTATAACTGCTCGTGTCTATAACCAACCCTACATGCTATATATAGGTAAATTGTATATTAAATATACCTATTTAATATAAAATTTAAAATAAAATTATAGAACATTGTATAAAACGTGTAAAACAAATCTTATTTATTTCAGTTATTACTTACCAATATTAGCATCAGTATGTGCTGCAGGCAAATCTACTGAGACCACCAAACTATTTGGTTTTGATTTTACAAACCGTGTAAGAGACCCGGCTAATTTTTTGGTTTGCTCTTCTTTTTGTAGTTTAATTTTACGTTTGGCACATCCGCTTAGAGGTGCCATTTTAAAATATTAAGGTAAATACCTGGGCGTGCGTACGGCGTGCCGCGTGCGCTGAATGTGAGTGTTCGACAGACGAGTTGACGACCATAATAATAATATAATTCTCCATGAATCAACATAATGACGATACCCTTACTCAAAAGTATTTTTAAAATAGACATAAAAGTATACAACAGTTACTGTCTAGATAAGATAAGAATAACATGACATACTAGTATACTATAATAGTATGGTACCAGCGTTGGGCTTTAAATAGTAATTATTTCCTAATCAATTGTTGACGATATTATGACTTATAAAAATAAATTATAACCGATTCTTAGTAGCAACAGAATTTAAATGTAATACAATATACATATTTTATTCCAGAAATGGACATGGATTGAATTTAGTTACGTAACTTATTTTAGATTCTAATTAACCCTTAACTTGGCAAAAAAAAAAATATTACACGAAAATTCCAAACTATCATTATTTTTAATAATTAAAACACGTAGAGTTCATTTTTGACCTTATTTTTAAAAAAGTGACATGAGTTTTTGAGATATTTTGAGTTGAAATGTGTATCTTTAAAGATACATCACCTCATAGAAGCTGTTTTCAATTTCGTGTCTTTTAAGATACACTACCTCGTATGCGATATTTTATTTTTGTATCTTAATGGATACGTCGCTATGAATTCCTCATTTTGAATCTAGTATACATTAGTGTTCATCACTTGATTATGTCTATTCTAAGTTTTATTACTAAAAAGTTACTAAGTAAAACTATGTAATAAAAAGTCAAAAAATATAGTTTTTATTGATTTTTAATAGAAAAAATGTAAAAAAAAATTATAGTAATACAAAGCAGTTAATGAATATATTTTGATTTCCTACTTGGTAAATAATGCATACAAAAGAAAACAACTTTTTATTGAAGCTATTGAAGTTCTAAATTGTTTTAATGGCATATGTTTAACGTTTAAATCATTATTTAACTCTTCAAATTCATGCCTATATAATAACCATGCATTGTTGACAGATATGTCCAATAACTGTGAAAATACAGCCAAATACCAACGATGTGATTTTAGACCAGTACGATATAAAGATACTAGCATATCAGTTAAATCGACACCACCCATCTTAGAGTTATATTCTTTGATTATTGTTGGACAATTAATAGGAATTTTAGTTTTCATATTTTTATCGTAGCGACGAACTGATGACGTTTGTTCATTTACAGGTACAAATTAACTTACCAACGTTACACATTTGTTATCTGCCCATTTTACAACAGCAATTTTTTTTTTATTATCACACCTCATTTCTTAACTTCCTCTTCCTTTTTTGAGTAAATCTTTGTCATTTATGATATCACATCCACGCAGTCTATTTTGTTGTATTGTTCCAAGGCTTAAAATTCCAAACTGTTTTCTTAAATACGTCACAAGTTCCAGTGATGTAAACCAATTGTCAAATTAAACAGCTGTAAGTGGTTTATCTGAAATGGTTTTACAAAGTTGGAGAACAACTTTTTGCCCTAACCCAAAAAAAGTTTCTTCATATTCTGAGAATGATTCTGTACTAAACGTTGTTTCGCCCGCATATGGAAAAAAATCATGCACAAAACCATCAATTCCAGCTCTTACAAAAAATTTAAAACCCTATTTTTTAGGTTTGTTTCTAATATACTGTCTTCTGGAGCCAGCTTTGGTCCCTTTATAAGGAATCATTATCTCATCTATTGAAAACAACTTACCCTGTTCAATTGACAAACAATTTTTTCTTATACCTTCTAAAATTGGTCTTACTTTGTAAAAACGGTCAGAAGTATCAATTGTTTCGTTATCAACAAAATGAATATATCGACGTAGCATTTGATAACGCTTTAGAGCCATGGTATCTGCGATTTGACTGTATCTTAAGTCGTCAGACCAATAATCTGTATATGCTGGCATTGCTACGATTCCCATAAGTAATTCAATTCCAATATAGTGTTTTATTTCTTCTACTGTTGTTTCTAAAGACTTACCAAGTTTTTGGGAACTATATATATTAGTGTGCTTTGTTATGAGTTCTAAAATATCATCTTTAAGAAACATTTTAAAATATTCGTAAGGAGTTGAAATATTTTGAGGTATGGATAAATACTTAAATGGAGGCAAATCAACAGGAAATTTAAACTGTTTTGTCCATTTAAAAGTCATTTTTTGTCGTATCATTTTTTTGGTTTTATTTGTAAATGTTGATGGAGGAGGTTCAACCGATTGAACATATGCTGAAGATACCGAATTTGGTTCCACATATGTCATTTGAGCTAATCTAGCCGATTTTCTTTGAACAATCGATAAGTCAGAATCGGAATGTAAATTGACTGATGGCAAAGTATTTGGAGAAGAGAGATCTAATATATTTTCCATAGTACTTAAATTAATTGCATTATCAATTATATTGCTTTCAACATTAGGCAAATCTAAAATAGGATTAGTAATAGAAATAGAAGCTTCAGCAAAAATATCATTGTTACTTGTACTTGGTAAATTTATGTAATTATTGATGTCTGTACCTAATTCATCAAACATGGGCATATCATCGATATCGTTTAGATAATTCTCTAGTTCCGAAGCACCATTCGGAGGACTTGACGAGTGTGTACTACAATCAGAATTTTCTATAACAGTCATGTTGGGGGCATTTGATTTATTATTTAATGATAATTCAGTCTCATCTTCAGTTTCAGAATCTTCTGATTCTGATGGAGTAATAACAGATTTCAAAAGCCGCAAACTTCGAGATGAAATAATTTTTTTATTTCTATACATAGCTACCTAATAAAAATGAAATATTTATTTGCATGGCTATTATTATTTAATATTTTAATAATTTATTTCAGAATCTAAGGTTCCGTATCTTTTTAGATACAACAATAAACATGAGATAACTGAAAATTGTATCTTATAAGATACAATGTTATACATAAGGTAGCTGAGCAATGTATCTTTTAAGATACAATGTTATACATGAGGTAGCTGAGCAATGTATCTTTTAAGATACAATGTTATACATGAGGTAGCTGAGCAATGTATCTTATTGGATACATCAAATATAAACAATAAAAAAACAATACTCGAGAGTTAAAACCTAACATTTTATTATATTAAAATGATAATAAAGATAACCTGATAAATATTACTAACTTACAGCTTGTTGTCGCGTATATTCAATGACTTATAACACTCCAAAGTCACAGGAAATCACAAACACGTGTAAACTATAATCCACTTGTGAGACAAATGATAACAGCGTAATCAATTTTAGCTACTATCAAATAATATTACACATATGAACTCTTTGGAATATTTAGAAAAATTTACATCAGTTTCATGGAATAAAAAAATAATATTTTTAATATCAAAATTAACTGATTTACGTGTATCTTTTAGGATACAGCGTCAAGTTAAGGGTTAAAACCCGATATATTTGGTTTTATTTGTGTAATATTTAGACAATATTAAAAATTTAAAAATTTGAAATTTCATTAAAATTAAAAGCCCCCGTATAATAATGGGTCCCTTTGAATACTTTGGGTGGGCCGGCCTACGGCCGGACACATAATAGGGTGGGCCAGGCACACCCTGGCCCCCCCCTTAGCTACGCGCCTGACGCCAATAGAAAATTAAGAATACCATTTAATAAGATAAAAAAAAATAGCCTATGTGGGAATTTTTTACAGAAGATTTAAAAATGTAATACAGGATTCTTCATTTATATTTTAACAGGAAAACAAATGAGTTTGAAATTGTACTTTTTTTTATTTATTTTTAGTAATTTGGATTCTGTCAGATTGTTATATTTTATAAAACCTTTATATGAAACTGTATTTGTACAAGAGCAGGGACGTAGCCAGAGGGGGGTCAATGGGGTCCGGACCCCCCCCCGAACATTTTAGGAAAATGTATTTTGATACTGAAATTAAAATTCCGCGTACTACGAATAAACAAAATTATAGGGATAGTTATAAATTATAATATTTTTATTCACGTAAGTCACTAGAAGAGTATAATCAAAAATCTGTATTCTTACCATGTTTAGATGGTTTTATTTTACATCTCGAAAATAGGTGTGAACAGAATAATGATATTTTATCGTCAATAGAAATATTATTATCAAAATTCG